ACACACACACACACACACACACACACACACACACACACACACACACACACACACACACCTCATCATCCCTCACCCTAGTTTTGGAAACTTTTATTAGCTTGAAAATACTCAAAACCACACACAGCATAAGATGCAGCAAAGTAAGTAGTAAGAAACGCAAGCTTTAGGGTAAGCMAACCTATTGTTTGGTACACATAATGGAAAACCAACATTGGCTAAATGGGGAAATTTGAGTCTCCAATCTGTTTGACCTTATTTTCTGATAAGAAACAGGGCTCTGCTGGCGCTTTACCCACCACAGAATACAGTAAACACTAAGTGAGAAACACAGTAGGTCATTGAGAGTRTTCCCTGCCTTCAGCTTAACATGACACTTAAGTACTACTACAAGCAGAGAAAGAAAAGGCAAGGCTACACACATTACAAAATGCCTCTATTCTCACTTTCAAGCTGAAATGTCAGTCCCTTTCTCATAGTGTGGAGGGAAAGGTGGGGTGGAGGTGAGCCAGACAAAAGTCTTGTGATTCTAAAGTGATTTGTTGCATTTTCATTATAACTACTTTGATTGTGCAGGTGAGGTAATCATGGATCTAAATGGGGCCTGTAAGTAACTGTTTCAATGTGTGTTACTTGAAACGCTTCAGTCCCTGACAAATGAAGCATTGTTTTCTTTATGATAATTCCACCAGCTGACAAACTAAAGGTAGCCTAAAACGTACATTTAAATTATGTTCAAATAAAAGTGATAGAAGCTATGTCAACAGAAATAAAAACAGACATGTAAACAAGAAGGATGTGCAACAGGCTTATTTTGTGCATGTTGTTCCAAAACCAAATACAGAGAAATAAAGAGAAATGAATAATTTGTCATTTTAGTTTGAAATGAATCAGCTGTGTTGCAAATAAAGTTTCTAAATGCAATGCTTCATGTGAAGTATATGGTTTAAATATCTTAGAGCCTTTTGATTTTTATTTTTTAGTATTTGATATTATTGTAACCTTTTAAAGTCTTCACAGTGTGAGGTGATAATAAAAGTAGAAGTGGTTCTCAGACATTCATTACCACTGTTTTCACTAACACTATAAGTGATCTGCTCCAAAATCCTGTATTAGCTGAACTCTAAAAATCCCACAATGCCACTGATTAAGTGGAGYAGGCTGGT